CAGATACACACATGGAACAGATAAACCCATGGAACAGATACACACATGGAACAGATAAACCCATGGAACAGATACACCCATGGAACAGATACACCCATGGAACAGATACACCCATGGAACAGATACACCCATGGAACAGATACACCCATGGAAAAGATACACACATGGAACAGATACACCCATGGAACAGAAACACCCATGGAACAGATACACACATGGAACAGATACACCCATGGAACAGATAAACCCATGGAACAGATATACCCATGGAACAGATACACACATGGAACAGATAAACCCATGGAACAGATACACCCATGGAACAGATACAGCCATGGAACAAATACACCCATGGAACAGATAAACCCGTGGAACAGTTACACCCATGGAACAGATAAACCCATGGAACAGATACACCCATGGAACAGATACACCCATGGAACAGATACAGCCATGGAACAGATACACCCATGGAACAGATAAACCCATGGAACAGATATACCAATGGAACAGATAAACCAATGGAACAGATAAACCCATGGAACAGATACAGCCATGGAACAGATACACCCATGGAACAGATAAACCAATGGAACAGATAAACCCATGGAACAGATATACCAATGGAACAGATAACCCCATGGAACAGATTCAGCCATGGAACAGATACACCAATGGAACAGATAACCCCATGGAACAGATTCACCCATGGAACAGATACACCCATGGAACAGATAAACCCATGGAACAGATACATCCATGGAACAGATACATCCATGGAACAGATACATCCATGGAACAGATACACCCATGGAACAGATAAACCCATGGAACAGATACACCCATGGAACAGATACACCCATGGAACAGATACACCCATGGGACAGATACACCCATGGAACAGATAAACCCATGGAACAGATATACCAATGGAACAGATAAACCCATGGAACAGATAAACCCATGGAACAGATAAACCCATGGAACAGATACACCCATGGAACAGATACACCCGTGGAACAGATAAACCCATGGAACAGATACACCCATGGAACAGATACACCCATGGAACAGCTAAACCCATGGAACACAGAAACCCATGGAACAGATAAACCCATGGAATAGATACACCCGCCAAAGTTATAAAAGACATATTGCTTCAGTTTAAGATCTAAACAGAACAAATTACTCGGGAACATTTGACAAGCCGCAGGATTCTGCCCCCGTCGTGGCCACTCGACAGCTACAGTGGCCCTCAGGTAAATTCAGGTAAATAGACACAAAGTGGAGCTCGTAAAAGAGAACCTTTGAGGGAAGCTCACTGATTGGTCGAGGTTTGACTAACAACCTGTAATGTACTCAACTAATTGTGTTTGCGGGGGTTGAGCTCTGGCTCTTGGGTCCCGCTAAATGTGTGACCGGAACCAAGCACCGGCTTGCGGATCACGGCCCTGGCACGGGTACACGCCGCGCCCAACCTCGAACCCGGAACTCGAATCTACGCTTGGTACAGCAACCCGTCCTCGACTCAAGTCCATTACATCTAGCGGTCGCCCCCACAGACGCATTCATAAATTTTAACATGTTGTTCATTCAAAACAAGAATTTTCTCAAATATAAATTAATATTATAATATATTAGTATATTGTGCAAATATAGGCATAGGTTAGGTTAGGTTAGGTGTTTAGGTTCGGTTGGCGATTATTTGCATTTGTAGTACGTGGGTGAAGCATTTATAGCGATGTGGTTCGAACAAAACTCGTCAGTGAAGCACTTGTTCCGGAAGTGTTCGAACGAAATCAGTTGTGAGTCGTTTGTAAACCGTTTTTCATTCATAAACAGGGGGTTTGGCGGGTGGCTGGAATCACTTTTGGATCTTTGTTTGGAGGACGGGCTGATGCAGTACGTGGGTGAAGCATTTACAGCGTTGTGGTTCGAACGAAATTCGTCAGTGAAGCACTTGTTCCGGAAGTGTTCGAACGTCAACAGTTGTGAGTCGTGTGTAAACCGTTTTTCATTCTTAGCTGCTGGGGGTTTGGCGGGTGGATGGAGTCACTTTTGGGTCTCAGTTTGGAGGACGGGCTGGGTACAGAGCGTTCGTTGTTCGAACTGCGGTTAAGCAGCCCGTCCTCCAAACCGAGACCCAAAAGTGACTCCATCCACCCGCCAAACCCCCAGCTGTTTAAGAATGAAAAACGGTTTACACACGACTCACAACTGTTGACGTTCGAACACTTCCGGAACAAGTGCTTCACTGACGAATTTTGTTCGAACCACAACGCTATAAATGCTTCACCCACGTACTACATATACAAATAATCGTCAACAGAACCTAAACACCTAACCTAACCTATGCCTGTATATACATAATATGCTAATATATTATAATATTAATTTACATTTGAGAAAATTCCTGTTTTGAGTGAACAGCATGTTAAAATTTATGAACGCAATTGTGGGGTCGACCGTTGGATGGAATGGACTTGAGTCGAGGATGGGTTGAGTTAATTGGAATCTGGGCCAAGATTCGTCACGTACTTATGTGTCCTCCTACGAAACCTGTTCATCGTTTATGGCCACTCAGTCTGCGTTTATTTAACCATTTACGAGCTACGAGCGTCGTGAGGCTGTTTATAGCAATAATAATATTTTGGCTTCGAGGTTTCTAAGGCTCTAAACTGTTTAATAAATAGAGACTAAGCCGCCATGCTTGAAAAAAAAAATGTACGGGTTTAGCGATACGTAAATGTTGCTTGAATCCCAACCTTGGAGTCTGCAATGTTCCGACCATCCTTCATAAATATAATGCATACATCCTCCTGCAAAAGCAATAAGTTAAATACTGACTAAGGTTCTAAGCAATAAGTCAAGTACTGACTAAGAGCAGGTCTTGACATATCCAGCAGGCAGCAGCAGGCAGCATGAAGTTTCCATACAGACTAATAACAAACTTTTTTCTCTGACATGAATATTAATATGATTATATATATATGTAGGTTTCTGTAAGGTTAGGTCTAGGTTAGGTTAGGTTTAGGTTAGGTTAGATTAGGTTAGGTTTGGTCTAGGTTAGGTTAGGTTTAGGTTAGCTTTCGTCTAGGTTAGGTTAGGATAGGTCTAGGTTAGGTGAGTATAGTTTAGGTCTAGGTTAGGTGAGGATAGTTTAGGTGTAGGTAGGTCTGGGTTAGATTAAGTCTAGGTTAAGTTAGGTCTAGGTTAGGTTAAATCTAGGTTATGATAGGTTAGGTTAGGTTAGGTTAGGTTTAGGTTAGGTTAGATTAGGTTAGGTCTAGGTTAGGTTTATGGTAGGCTAGGTTAGGATAGGTTAGGTCTAAGTTAGGTTAGGTCTGGTGAGGTGTTCTGTGTTCTGTGTAAACACTCCGTAAACCAACAGTTACGTTGGTTTATGGAGTGTTTACGTTACAGGCTGAAGGTGAACGAAGCCCGTCCCGAATCATAGTCTCGAACGTGGCTCGCTGGACTGTAGGTACAAATACCGACTTATGTAACGTTTGTGTTCTCGATGTTTGACTTATACAATGTGAACCACCGCCCTTTGTTGTGATGACGGGCTGATACAGTATGTTGACCAGACCACACACTAGAAGGTGAAGGGACGACGACGTTTCGGTCCGTCCTGGACCATTCTCAAGTCGATTGTGAATACTGTATGATTTTGTGCTGTCTGGGGATGAAGGTCTGAGTTACCAACAGGTTTCAGTGGCAAGTTTCCTGCCTAAATATCATTAATTTGTAATACTCTACAACTGTAACTGTGCAGGGAGCTGATTCACCAAAAACTTAAGATATACAGACCTCTTAAGTGGTCACCTATCTGAAGCAAGGCGACTAAAGTCGGTATTTACTAAATAGATTACGAACCCAGATGCGAAATACAAAGTCTTCGACTACAGGTTACTTTTGGTATGATGGACCTCGCAGCGCCTGAGAGGTCGTAAACTGGGTCGTATCAACTAAGCCGATACGATGGAGATAAGAGACGCAGATATATCAAGTGACAAGCTCTCATAAGTCATGTATTCAGATCTGCACGGTATGGAATGGGGGAATGTGACCTGTACATACATGACCAACAGGTTCCACCCCCCGGGTCCAGGACGTGAAAATGACCAACAGGTTCCACCCCCCGGATCCAGGACGTGAACATGACCAACAGGTTCCACCCCCCGGGTCCAGGACCTGAACATGACCAACAGGTTCCACCCCCCGGGTCCAGGACCTGAACATGACCAACAGGTTCCACCCCCCGGGTCCAGGACCTGAACATTCCACCCCCCGGTCCTGGACCAACAGGTTCCACCCCCCGGGTCCTGGACCTGAACATGACCAACAGGTTCCACCCCCCGGATCCAGGACGTGAACATGACCAACAGGTTCCACCCCCCGGGTCCAGGACGTGAACATGACCAACAGGTTCCACCCCCCGGATCCAGGACCTGAACATGACCAACAGGTTCCACCCCCCGGATCCAGGACGTGAACATGACCAACAGGTTCCACCCCCCGGATCCAGGACGTGAACATGACCAACAGGTTCCATCCCCCAGGTCCAGGACGTGAACATGACCAACAGGTTCCACCCCCCGGGTCCAGGACGTGAACATGACCAACAGGTTCCACCCCCCGGGTCCAGGACGTGAACATGACCAACAGGTTCCACCCCCCGGATCCAGGACGTGAACATGACCAACAGGTTCCACCCCCCGGGTCCAGGACGTGAACATGACCAACAGGTTCCATCCCCCAGGTCCAGGACGTGAACATGACCAACAGGTTCCATCCCCCAGGTCCAGGACGTGAACATGACCAACAGGTTCCACCCCCCGGGTCCAGGACCAGAACATGACCAACAGGTTCCACCCCCCGGGTCCAGGACCAGAACATGACCAACAGGTTCCACCCCCCGGGTCCAGGACCTGAACATGACCAACAATGAACGCTGGAAGAGAGGGTGTAGAGGCATGCAGGTGGTGGTGACTGACCAGGGTAAGGAGCAGGAGAGGGAGCCAGCACAATCTCAGCAGCAACATGGTCCTTGGGGGCGCTCCTCCCGGCCTCAGTCTGCAAGAGAGGGAGAAAAATACGAATAATATCATGACATCAACTTATATACTACTTATCTATTCTCTTCCATGTGTTTACTTTCTACTCAGTGACACAAAATAAATTCTTATAATCTCTGACTCATCCCTGTCTCTCTGTGTCATCATAAATTCCCCCTGAGGATTTTATATGACGTTATCATGTCTCCTAGATTATGCCGCCCTCCAAGTGTGGTAAGGTAATATTCAGCTCCATTATACTTTCCTTATAATTTAATGATATCGGTCTGGCACGTGATGTGGTGGAGTCAGCCTCCACCACATCACTGCCTAATGCATTCCACCTGTTAACTACTCTGACACTGGAAAAGTTCTTTCTAACGTCCCTGTGGCTCATTTGGGTACTCAGTTTCCACATGTGTGTCCCCTTGTTCGCGTACCACCCGTGCAAAATAGTTCGTCTATATCTGCCCTGTCAATTCCTCTGAGAATTTTATAGGTGGTGATCATGTCTCCCCTAGTTCTTCTGTCTTACAGTGTCGTGAGGTTTAGTGTGTGTGTGTGTGTGTACAGAGACACGGAGCAACCAACTGCAAAGCCCAACAGTGGTCGGGGGGGGGGAATCCCGTTGCTCGCTGCTTCCGTTGTGTACTCTGTTACCTCCTGTTTCCCTACTCTTTGCTACTCACCCCGTCACTGAAGGGTTTGTGTTCCCTCTCTCCGGTTTCTCTGTTTTTTTTGTTTGTTTTTTGGTTTTGTGTCCGTTTAATTTCCTTGTTTCTTTATTTTTTTTTCTATAGAGAACCACCGGGTTCTGTTTGTTTAACACTTTCTCGCTCCTGACTGCTTGCTTTAGCTGTTTGGTGGCAATACTGTTGCTCTGTTCCTGTTTGCCGTTTGATTATCTTCTGTTTTTGTGTTTGTTTCGTGGTTGAAATAATATCGCAAATTAGTGTGTTTTTGAATGCTTATATTGTTTCGTTATTTAGTATAGCATTTGACAGATACTATTTTCACCTGTTGCGTATAATTCTGTTGCTTTTTTTCCTGTTGTGAACCTGTTTACTGGCTATTATAATTCTTAAGGGTGAACTGGGTAGATTTTTTTTCTGTTTGCAGAAATTTATTTTACTTTACCTTATGATGAAAATTAAGAGAAAATGATACATGAATATTGGGGCCTTGTTCTACTATGGTGGGACTGTGGTGGGACTGTGGTGGGACTGGTGGTGGGACTGTGGTGGGACTGTGGTGGCACTGGTGGTGGGACTGTGGTGGGACTGTGGTGGGACTGTGTTGGGACTGTGGTGGGACTGGTGGTGGGACTGTAGTGGGACTGGTGGTGGGACTGTGGTGGGACTGGTGGTGGGACTGGTGGTGGGACTGTGGTGGGACTGTGGTGGGACTGGTGGTGGGACTGTGGTGGGACTGGTGGTGGGACTGCTGTGGTGTCTGGCCGTGCGAAGAATGTTTGGGGGATATATCTCAGTTCCCCGTCCAGGAGCCAGATTCACGAAGTAGTTAAGAAAACACTTACGAACCTCCACATCTTTTCTCAATCTTTGGCGGCTTCGTTTACAATTATTAAACAGTTAATGAGCTCCGAAGCACCAGGCGGCTGTTTATAACAATAACAACAATTGATTGGGAAGCTTTCATGCTTGCAAAATGTTTAATAATTGTAACCAAAGTCGTCAAAGTTTAAGGAAAGATGGACACGTTCGTAAGTACTTGCGTAACTACTTCGTGAATCTGGCCCCAGGTTCTCAAGCCTAGTTCACCAAATCCTAATATGTAATAATTAATTTACAATTGATAAAATAACAATTTTGAATCGATTGGACAATCATAATCCAAGGGAGAGTTGAGATGACTGGTGGAGTGACAGACAGTGTGGAATACTGCGACGGGGGAGAGTCAGTCAATCAGGGGGGGGGGGGGGGGGGGGGGACGGGAGAGTAGCTGACCCAGTTACGACAAGTTGGCCGAGAAACACGCGTCCCCCCCACCACACCTCTCAACCACACACCTCCCAGCCACATTCCTGTCAACCACAGTGGCATACGAGGTAACTCATTCTCTCTCATTCACTCGCCATCAGGACGAGTAGGAATGCCATCAGCGATAACATCAAGAACTGCTCTAGTAGTGCCAGCACCAGTAACAGTAGCACTGTTGACAACAGAAACGTCAACAACAGGAGCAGCATCAACAAGAGAGCAACAGAAACATCAACAAGAGTAGTAGTGAAGGCTGTGGCAGGCAGACCTTGAACTTGGCCGCACCCTGCACCAGCCAGCTGGCCTCGTCTCTCTCTCTCTCTCGGTCAATGCCACGGCTGCTGCTTCTGCTGCTGCTGCTGCTGCTGCTTCTGCTGCTGCTGCTGCCTGCTGCTGCTACTGCTGCTGCTGCTGCTGCTGCTGCTGCTTCTGCTGCTGCTGTTACCTGCTGCTGCTACTGCTGCTGCTGCTGCTGCTGCTGCTGCTGCTGCTTCTGCTGCTGCTGTTACCTGCTGCTGCTACTGCTGCTGCTGCTGCTGCTGCTGCTGCTGCTGCTGGTAGTGGTGGTGGTGGTGTTGATGATTGTCCTTACAACCCCGTACGAATAACTCTTGGAGCCGCCTCTTAGTAACGGGGAATCAGTACTGCTTCACTTGCCGCGTGACTTGGTGCCCCAGAACCTTTGATCTGTAGCCTAGTAAGGTGTTAAGATTGTTCGTACCTTTTACCGGCACCTTTTGTGCCGTAATGTGGATCTTTGTCCTCTTCTGCTCAATATTACATGTCTCCATCCATATATTTGAAAGGAACTTTGAAATTTGCCATAGATCACCCTCTCAATATCTTGTCTTTCCAGATTTCGCCTACTGAGTGATGGGGCCTGATTTGATTGCATTTAAATGTGTATATGCCATTTACCATGCGTTCCTTCGTGTACTTATGTGGTCTAAGTCATTGTGGAGGGCCTTAAGGTCGCCTTGAGTCTTACATACCTCTTAGCAGCATATATGTTAATGTGGATAATAGGTGTGTCTGGTTATATCGTCCAGCTCTTAGTGGAAATTTATTTACTAGCCATGGTGAGAGTCAGGCCAAAATTTGACAGTGCTATTGTTCGAGAAATTCGAAAGGACAGTTGTTATCAATGTGGGGTCAGGTGGTCAAGTTCATCCCGAGACCTAGGCGCTGTAAGATGAGTGTGAACCAAGCACTCTAAGCTTAGTGTGGAGGCAGGAGGGCGGGGGGGGGGGGGGGAGGTTGACTTCCCCTGCTCCGTTGCTAGCATAAAACACCTTTATGTGTTGCAGCATTTCTCAGTGGTCCGCTAAGGACCCGGGTTCGATTCCCGAGCGGGACAGAGCAAAATAGCTGAGCGTGCTTTCTTTCACCTGATGACTCCGCTCGACTCCCAGTAAATAGATACCCGGGAGTTAGGTAAATGACCTCACAGGGATTCGAACCCATGATGTCTGTCTGACATCTCCACTCAATACTATGGTGGTATGTTCACTCACAGGATGAGTGGCGCTGTCCAATACTGTCACTATGGCGGTGTGTCCACTCACAGGATGAGTGGCGCGGCCCAATACTGTCACTATGGCGGTGTGTCCACTCACAGGATGAGTGGCGCTGCCCAATACTGTCACTATGGCGGTGTGTCCACTCACAGGATGAGTGGCGCTGTCCAATACTGTCACTATGGCTGTGTCTACTCACAGGATGAGTGGCGCTGCCCAATACTGTCACTATGGCGGTGTGTCCACTCACAAGATGAGTGGCGCTGCCCAATACTGTCACTATGGTGGTATGTTCACTCACAGGATGAGTGGCGCTGTCCAATACTGTCACTATGGCGGTGTGTCTACTCACAGGATGAGTGGCGCTGCCCAATACTGTCACTATGGCGGTGTGTCCACTCACAGGATGAGTGGCGCTGCCCAATACTGTCACTATGGCGGTGTGTCCACTCACAGGATGAGTGGCGCTGCCCAATACTGTCACTATGGCGGTGTGTCCACTCACAGGATGAGTGGCGCTGCCCAATACTGTCACTATGGCGGTGTGTCCACTCACAGGATGAGTGGCGCTGCCCAATACTGTCACTATGGCGGTGTGTCCACTCACAGGATAAGTGGCACTGCCCAATACTGTTACTATGGCGGTGTGTCCACTCACAGGATGAGTGGCGCTGCCCAATACTGTCACTATGGCGGTGTGTCCACTCACAGGATGAGTGGCGCTGCCCAATACTGTCACTATGGCGGTGTGTTCACTCACAGGATGAGTGGCGCTGCCCAATACTGTCACTATGGCGGTGTGTTCACTCACAGGATGAGTGGCGCTGCCCAATACTGTCACTATGGCGGTGTGTTCACTCACAGGATAAGTGGCGCTGCCCAATACTGTCACTATGGCGGTGTGTCCACTCACAGGATGAGTGGCGCTGCCCAATACTGTCACTATGGCGGTGTGTCCACTCACAGGATGAGTGGCGCTGCCCAATACTGTCACTATGGCGGTGTGTTCACTCACAGGATGAGTGGCGCTGCCCAATACTGTCACTATGGCGGTGTGTTCACTCACAGGATGAGTGGCGCTGCCCAATACTGTCACTATGGCGGTGTGTCCACTCACAGGATGAGTGGCGCTGCCCAATACTGTCACTATGGCGGTGTGTTCACTCACAGGATGAGTGGCGCTGCCCAATACTGTCACTATGGCGGTGTGTCCACTCATAGGATGAGTGGCACTGCCAAATACTGTCACTATGGCGGTGTGTCCACTCACAGGATGAGTGGCGCTGCCCAATACTGTCACTATGGTGATGTGTCCACTCACAGGATGAGTAACCCTGCTCAATTCTGTCACTATGGCGGTGTGTCCACTCACAGGATGAGTGGCGCTGCCCAATACTGTCACTATGGCGGTGTGTCCACTCACAGGATGAATGGCGCTGCCCAATACTGTCACTATAGCGGTGTGTCCACTCACAGGATGAGTAACGCTGCCCAATACTGTC